CCTTTCCTTTCCTTTCCTTTCCTTTCCTTTCCTTTCCTTTCCTTCCCTTCCCTTCCCTTCCCTTCCCTTCCCTTCCCTTCCCTTCCCTTCCTCCCCTCTCCTCTCCTCTCCTCTCCTTTATCCTCTTCCCTGCCTGCCCATTTCCACACATTTTATACTATAGTCCTGCCATAGACTGCACTTCAAAAATGCATACTGACTTTCATCTCATATAGTGATCAACGCTTAATATTGTGATGTGCCATGCAGCACATGTGCAGATACAGTGAATGCTGGCATGAGGGAGGGTAAACAAGATGGGCAAGGGCTCTGTGTCCCATTCGTGGAGGGGGCTTCCATCCAGTTTCAGACATCGCAATTCTGACTGTTTTATTCATCTCTTAAGTCAGGTTGATTCAGCACCGGATAGAAGTGCATGAACCTCTCTACCTTGCACAGTATTGGCACCTCAGTGTTCATATGCTACCACTTATTCACAATGGAAGCTAAGAAGCCTAGAACCAGCACATGCATGTCTTTGAAGATCACACTTCTAGAATATCTGGAGAGGGACTTTCAAGCTAAAGAAAAAGCAGGGACTGGAAAAGATCCAAAAATTAGACCACAGCACTCTCCCACTGATTTAGATTTGAATTGGGTGGATCCTGGGACGTCTTGTATGTGGATCAGTGCTGACCAGGATCCACCACAATAAGAACAGATGTCATTGCTGATCCTCAGACTTTCCTTGGATCGGTCACTTCCTGCATCTTGTCCTAAACACTCTCTCCTGTGCTGGTTGCAAGGAGAAAAATGGTGAATGGGTCCTTTTTGAACTCCCCAAGTACCCAAAAATGCCCACAACGTTTTCAGAAAAGGTTTATAAACATATGCAAGGAAACGCTTTGCAAAATTAGAAATATTCATGTCAGTTATCCAAGCCAAGGAACGAGCAGAAAAGGCAGAAATGAAAGTACCGAATGTGCAAGCATATGCAAGTCCCCAAGAAACTGTTAATCAAATATGAGAGAAAGAAGTAAAATGAATATACACATCCTGTGTTAAAGGTTTGTGGCCAGATGCATTTCATACCACCTGCTGTGCTTCAATAGCCCAATTGAAAGTCTTGATTAGGAAACTACCTTCATTTCTGCAACTCCTTGGTTTCTGGGCCCCCAAACTAACCTACTTCGCAAGGCTAAAGAGAGAGATGGAATTAGACAGCTGTTCTGAATCCTTGGAAGAACAGCAGGATAAATGTAAACTAAATAATTATGGCTTGGGGTTGGTTGAACCCCTGGGGTAGAAGGGCTCAGATTTCACTGCATGCTTGAGATGGTCCTGGGCAAAAAGTCCTTTTGGCCCCTTCCTCTGCTGGTGGGTCATTGCAGGTTTCCTTGGCAATAGCAGTAAGTAATGCTAGTGTGCTGTGGATCTGGGCCTAGCAGCTATTTTAACATCCCACAATGCCCCAGGCTGCAGGGCCTTCTGGAAAATTAAAATGGCAGCTGTGGCAAGGCCTGGGCAAAACCAGGAATGGACTTCAGTAGGGTTATAAGTCCCTAGAAATTGCCCCAAAGATACCAGTCCTGGAAGTCACAGCTCCTTTTTTCCTAATTCTTCCCCCATCCTCCTCAAGCAAAGCTTGCTTTTCAGTCACCCCCAAAAAGGATCCCACATACCACAATTAATTAGTGCTTCTGGCTCCTGGGGGAGAGGAAACTGGCAATTTCCTTCATGGTATAACAACAAATAAATGGAAAGATGCAATTTGATTGGATCCCCAGTGGGATTCTGGCAGAGGCCGAGAATCACAACGCAGCCCACAAATCGCACGAGGCTCTTATCTTCTGTAGCCTCTGCGTGCCTGACTCATCCTAGGAGAAAGTGGGTAGTGTGGGGTGGGGTGGACAGGGGATGGGGAAGACAGATGTTTGCAGATTTGCTCTGTGCAAACTATATTCCTCCCTCCCTGAGTCATGATGCCCATTCACCAGGTGAAGTTGGAGGACGAACCTTACTCAACAGGAGAACCACCCTGCATAGACATGGAAATGGATTGTGCTCAGTCTTTTCTCAGCAGAAGGCTGTACTTGCTCTGAGTCAGCACGAGAAATGCAAGGAAGAGGGAAAGCAACAGGAATCAAAACCAGGAGACAATTCCAGCTGCCCCTGATGAAATGCGTGCTGTCTATATTAGAGCCCAACCCATCTTGGATTAAACTAGTTCATCTTCAGGGATGTTCCACCTGAAAGCCGAGGTTGTTTCAAAGCTTTCTTTTGGTTTGGCTTAGTGGGCAGGACTAGGGTCAGATTTAAAAGTGGGCATGGAAAGATCCAAAAGTAAAGTGGAAGCAGGGCAAAACATTATTTGTAAAACCTGTCCCAAGAATATTTTCCTGTGAAACCGTAAACATTAAGTATCATAAAGTTTTGTTTTTTTGTGGGAGGTTTGAGAGGAAAGAGAGCAAAATGCATCGGCTCTGGGCAGAGTGAAGGTTGATGGATGGTTTCCTTCCTTCCTTCCTTCCTTCCTTCCTTCCTTCCTTCCTTCCTTCCTTCCTTCCTTCCTTATTATATGCTATTTTGGGAGTTGTTCATGATTTTTTTTTTGTCTTCTGTAATTTTTTAAAACTTTTTAAATTGTAAGCCACCCAGAGTCATTGGAAGTCAGGCAGCCTATAAAATGGATCAGATCAGATCAGATCAGATCAGATCAGATCAGATCAGATCAGATCAGATCAATTGAGCTGTGCCAGTT